AGCGATTTGGAGCGCTGCACGAGCTTTGTACACCTTGTGGTTTTGGTTGTAATGGAGCTCAAGCTGACCCAGGCAGGAGAGCGTCAACACTTGGTCCACTTCGGTCATGGCCTCCAAGATCAGACTGGCTGGAAGGTCGGGGCCAAGTACTTTGCGGAGGTGTACACCCAATGCACTGTGCTCAGGGTGCAAAAAGATCAAGAGGGCCGGAAAGTGTTGGTGCAGTAGCTCTGCCAGTGCTGCCACCTAGTCCACCTGTGTTGCCTTCGATAGCTGCTGCTGCAACGTCGAAAGTCGTTCCTTCTCTTCATCCAGGTTGGCTTGTATACCAGCTCGCATGTCGTCTGACACAAAAGCCAAGAATGCTGTGGTTGCCTGAATTTTCTTTTGCAGCTCGGCCACCTCCTCATGAATGGATACAACTTGATCTGCGCTGCTCTGCGTGATGCTGCTTGCATATTCTTTGCATGCAGTCAGCACGTACAGCGTCTTGGCCTGCCAGTCGATCATATCGTGCAGCTGCTGCAACAGGGCTTGCGACCCGTGCAGCACAAACGTCAGGTACCAGTCCTGATGCTCATAATCGTGTTCTGCTCTCCAGTCTGCGAGCTGCTCCAGCCCATTCTGTTTGGGCGAGCTGAGGTGTTCGTGAGCCTGGCACAGCCGCTCCCACGCCTCGGGTAACGACTTGGCCGAAAGTGGTGCGCTCACATCCGAGCATTGTGCGCGTTGCCGTAACGTGTCCACGCGATGCATTGTGTCAGTGTCGGTGGTACCCGCCCTTGCCACGGCGTCCAGAGCATCAATCAATGCCAGCACCCGCCGCTTGATATTGGTATTGGTGCTGGTAAGCCGTTCTTGGCGCTCGGGTTCCACATTGTGCAGCATGACGAGTTTGCCCAGAGCTGCTGCAAAGTCGGTGGGTGGCGTCTCAAACGCAGTCGTGGGCGCGGTGGCTGGAGCGGGACATTTTGCCAAGATGTTCTGGAGTTCAAGATATACTGGTTGGAGCTCAATCTGCTCTGTTAGACTTTGCATCTTTTCAAGTACCGATTCTAGATTGTCAATGTTGGGGTCCAGTTGGCTGAGGCAGCCCTGTAGCGCTTCGGGAACCTGCACTGCTTGGTCGAGGACGCCGAGGGCGCGGGTGATGGTCGCTTTGAAGGCAGGCCAGTTCAAGGCAGGAAACTCTGGTGGAGCTTCATCGATGGTGTTCTGGATCTTCGTAACCATTGCTGCGAGATTAGAATTTCGCTTGATGGCACCGCTGATAAAGGCCTCGAGGTGCGGGAGGGGGTGAGTGGTGAATTGCTCGGGCAGGAGCGGTCTGAGCCAGCCTTCCACCGACACCACAACAGCGGCCGTCGTCTATAGGGGGATGTGGTTGAGGGGAGTTTGAGATAGGGATGGAGTGGGGAGCAAAGATTGTAATTTGGAAAAGGAAGAGCGGAGAGAGGTGTGTACCTCAAGGGACGGTGCAGGACTGAGCAAGGGCGGCAGCCAGGCAAATAGCTGTGCAAGGCGAGCCTCGTGGGCAGCGAAGACGGGCTCCAGCCTGTTGGCATGCCCACGTCGACGTCCAGCATCGAAGGCCGTCTCCCCTCTCTGAGAACATATTCAGGGGAGGGACGAGGTGTGGTAAGAGTTGAGCGATGTGCATGTGTTTTTTTAAAATGAAAGCCAGTGCAACGATGCGCATGATTAAGCAGGAGACGTTCGGCGAGAAAGCGGGGTACAGATAAGGCAAGAGGTGGCAGGGTATCTCAACAGAAGGGTTGATTAACAAATAATTAACAAAACTCGTGTTTGGAAAAATATCGTCAAATGTGCAAAGGCAAGATGCAAAAAATGACGACCAATATGCGTTTG